CACTCGGATTGAACAGCCAGACGCAGGGAGTTTCAAACGGGTGCAGTTTAATCTCGACCTTTCTTTCCATCGACACCGTGAAAACTGTAGTATAAAACAAAAGGATACAGAACCGTTGGACATGCCCAGCTCTTGTATAAAACCAAAATAATCAATGTTCAGTTATACAGCAAAGGAATACGCTGTGTCCTTTAACTCGTCAGTTTACAGTTTCGTTTTTAAACAAATAAACCACGACGTTCAACTGCTTCTTAAATAACATATAACATTTCTTATCACAAATCACAATTGTGTATATTTATACATCATTCTGCTTTCCGAGAGCGCTATTTTAAAGATTTTCTCCGGGTTTCTTCATAATCTACCGTTGTCTCATCGCGCAGGGTGTTGCTAGGTAACTACAGAACACACAAAGAAGAAATCTTCCGTTCTTTAAAATAAAAGCATAAATTAACCACTAGGTGTCACTGTTGGACCAATGAATAAGGAGAATTTTCCCATTTAGTAGTTATTTACACTATATGTTAATATGTACATATATACGTATGTATGTATGTATGTATGTATGTATGTATGTATGTATGTATGTATGTATGTATGTATGTACGTATGTATGTAAAATTACTGGGTAATTGTATGTTACGGGAGAACATCGCCAGTGAAACGATATTTAAATCTACGACTAGTCTTAAAAACGACTCAAAAAATTTGCACTGCTGTTTAATCCAAATTAAGTCAACAGCTCCATCAGGCCCCCATGAATGCTAATATTTTAACAATAGTCACCCGACTGTTGCCAACTCAGCGACTTTCTTGCGATATTTAGCGACATTTCAGACAAAAAAAATTGCCAGTGGCCGAAACAGGAATGGGCAGGTCAGACTTTTTAAAAATTGTTAATTGTATGGAAGTAAATATGACACTGAATTTTTTTCTATTATTTAAAAAGTAAGCGCAAATATACAACATTCAAGTTTCAGATGCATTTTTTATTCAAATTCTGATGGCACATATTTACTAGTATACACCTGCCAACAAACATGAAAGAGGCAGAGCAAACTGCATCACTTCTGTGGCCAGAATGTCCTATGCTAATCAATAATTGCTATTTATTTGTAATTATATGTAATCAATCCCTACAACCAGTGTATGCGCTATATTCAACACATAAGGGCGCTGCTNTGCATATGCATTAGTATAATTTAGGGACATCTGTGTCCTTAAGGCTCTTACCTCTGGTGGGGTTTGGCCAAGCATGCAGTGACCTTTCGGTGAAGGTCATCAGCGTCACCATCAAGAAGAAAAGCAGCTTCATCTTCACACTCAGCCGATCTGTCGACGTCTGCAGGGAAAAAGGCAATCAGTGATAATAAATAATCTCCGCCTGCAGCTTCTCAGAGCTGAACGTCAGCTTGTTTACTTTCACTTCCTGCTTCAAAGTCAGCAGCCTCTCTAAGTTTCGTTTCTTGGGTTTAGTCTCTGCAGGGGAACCTCCTGTTCTCCCCCTGCAGCCTGGCTTGTTCATATAAACAGCTGCAGAATATCAGTTTAACAGCAAACCTGGAGAAAACCAGCTCAGTCAGGCTTGCATGTTGAAAACCATGTGACATTCTGGCTGGTATTTTTATAAAACACAAACCCGCCGCAATCTGTGCAGAGGTCAGATTGCTTCAACTATATGTTTGTGGTCCAGAAATGTATCTTCCAGAACATGAGAAAAATGAATGAAAGCAACTGGTTTGTTAAACAGAAGTGAAGTCTGCATCTGTCCAGCTGTTGTACTTCTACAGCTAACACCCCAAACTTCCTCTTTTGTATGAAAATCAGGACGACTGCTGCTGATTAAACAGTTTTATGATCATTTTATCAGCAGGTGTGAAAACTCAGGCCTTTGATCCAAGAAGCCAACTCCTACAAGGACATTTACAGTCACTGTTCTGCTGTTTGTTAAAACCTTAAGAGGAAGGAGCCCTGCAAGGGAAAACTGAATGAAAACAAACTTTAAATAATCTTTACTACAAACAGAATTGCCTAAAGTCCAGAAAAAAACTGCTTTCCTTCTGTGCACTCAGATTTTAGATTTTCTTGTTTTGAGCCAGTGAAGGAGCAGCAGATTGCATTCAAAACAAGCAACATAAACAATCAAACTGAAATCAGCAATTCCACCAAAAACAGGTTTGGTGCACCTAATTATAATCTATGAGTGGCACCTGTCTACCCATGTCTAATGTTGTTTGCTGTTCTTTTTCTGTTCTTTGGATGTACTGAAACTAACTTTGTTGTGTTTCTTACAATGATAAGAGAGGCTGATTCTGTCACTTCAAACAACAGTGACAGATATGAGGAAAGAACCAAACAATTCCCATCTAAAGTGACTCAGGAGCCAGAAAAAAGAGAAGTCTGGATATTTCCAGCTGCATGAACCTTGCACTCCTTCAGCACATTCCAAAAACATCCCAGACTTCCTCTTTTTTATGCAAATTACAAAAGGTCCTGACTATTGGTGAAAGGGTTTAAGCTTTTCTGAAATGAGAAAACAACCAAGGTGCGCTGCTTTCTGAATAATATGATGTCTGAAATATCTAAATGCTGACAATTATTTGTGAATGATCAACAGCTGAAAATCGGATCATTCACACTGGAGCTCTTGATGTTACCAAGTAGCACCCAGAAATTTTGAAAGATGATTTAATTCACCTGCTGAACAGAATCAAAGTGTTTATCAGTGGACCGCTACCGACGGTTCTGCCAGTTCAGCAAACTCTGTGGACAACTTTGGCAGCGTAAACTTCTCTTCAAACCAGACGACTCCGTCTTATCGTGCTGCCTTGAACAGGTTAGGAAAGATCTAAACCATGTTTTAGATGAGATCGTAATCTGTTCAATTCTGCCTGGTTTCAATGTTTACACTTGCACTTGGAAAATGGCTGGAAAGAGATGTGCAATCATACAACCTTACATCTTTGAAAAGCAGAAGTAGAGCCTCTTGCACAACCAACAAGAATGTAGCAAGTGGTTTCTGGATGGTTAGTCACCAACAAAATGCTTTTAGAAGCATGTTTTATTGTACTCCCAAGAATGGGAGTACAATAAAACATGCAAAAAGTGAATTCTGCATCATGCATTCCCAAATAAATCTGATCTAAGTTTTTTCCATCAAACATTTCTTCAGTTTGAATCAGACACAGAGCTTCTGCAGAAAACACTGAGAAATCATTCTGCACATCAAATCAGTAGGCTACGACCAAACATAACAAATGTAGAGAAAATGACACAATTTCACCAAGTCAACCATGAAAACTTATAAGAAGAAATTACAAATAACTGAAGCTCCTTCTCTTACTGTCTTGATTTCCAACAAACCATGTAGTTTGATAGACAAATTTTAGTCTGCTTAAATATTATGTTATCAATCAAGTCAATGTAGTTTTTATCTGTTTACTGCCAAATTATAACAATCAGTCCCTCCAGTTTCTTGAGAATTATCATGGACATTGAAGTAAAATAACCAAATCCCAACACTTCACATAAATGGGAATTCACTGTAGAATTTTCTCAAAACTTGTCAGAAACTTTATTACTTGTACTAAACAGCTGCCTCAGCCTTCAGTGATATCAGATTGTAGACCATGATCTATACAGCGAGTAATAAAAAGTCTTCATAAATGAGTGCAAATCTTGCAAATATTTCCAAATTAATAACACAAACACTTTGATTTGTATTATAAAAAACATGAACAGTATCACAAAATCCTGGAAGAACTGGAAAGATGTTTAATAATATTATTTAATTTTAAGAATTCATTGATATTTTAACAGTTTCTGGACAGGTTTTACAAATATATTCAGGTACAACCGGCCCTTTAATAAGAGCATTCATGATCTTGATTCAAGATCATTTGGGCCAAATGAGTTCCACACCACTGATCCAGTCCAACCTGGTTATGTCACACCTGCCAACAAACACAAGAAAGAGGCAGAGCAAACTGCATCACTTCCTGCTACGCGCTAAAACAAACAGGAAGCGGAAGATTTTTCAAAATAAAACTGAAGATGGTTCTGCTTCAGATAGATTTATCTTAAGTTTTCATTACCTTAGAAGGCTGAGAAAACTTATTACTTCATTTTTAAGTAATTATTACATTAATGAGATACACACACACACACACACACACACACACACACACACACACACTAAGAGTACTAAAAGTGAAGCCAAGTTAGTTCACTACAAATAAATAAATAAATAAATAAATAAATAAATAAATAAATAAATGTTCTTTCACTTACACAAAATCTAAATCTCGAGTCGTTTTAAACTTCTGTTTAAATGCAAAAGCCTCAGTGCGTTTATTTTGAAAGTTGTGGAAGCGGAAGTGATGTCATGAGACGTTTAAACGTTTCCCGGTGAGCCAGCTGTGTTTACGTGCGTCCTTCCACCGTGGACCGAGCTGACAACTGCCGGGATGACAACGTGGATTAGAGAAACACACCCACGGTGGTGGTGTATAAAACACGGGGCACCCACGGACACGGAGACACGCAGACACGCAGCCTTAACCTGGGACGGTTCCTACCTGGACCTTCATCATGGGAGTCATCATCTCACAGATCTTCTCCAGGTTCATCTCCAAGACTCCGGTCAGGATTCTAATGGGTGAGTTACTGCAACACCATTTTAAATGAAATTAGACATTCTATCAGTGGCCAAAATGTCCTATGCTAATCAATAAGTGTTATTTATTTGTAATCAATCCCTACAACCAGTGTATGCGCTATATTCAACACATAAGGGCGCTGCTAGAGAGGCGCAACAATACAGCGGAAAAAGTGTTCAGCATGTTTTTGTATCTGTATCGTTGTTATTAGCTACATTGTACCAGTGTTATTATATGTTGATTTTTACAGAAGTAGCCAACTAAAAATAAATAAATAAATACAAATCTGATTTTGAATTAGAGTGATGTTTAAGTGTACAATATTATTTTAACTACTTGAACGTAACATCAGTTGATAAACACTAAATTTACAGTAACAGGTTTGATATCTTATATTTCCCCAAAAGCAGCCGTCAACAGGAAGAGATTAACAATTTATGTAACAACTATCACAACAAAATTGTTTTTCCACGTGTAAAAGCATATAGTTTGTATTATTGAGTCTTACTTTAAATATATATGAATATACTTTATCATGCTATCTTGGTGCTCTTGGGGGCCCCCTGGTGGTGTGGCTGTCCTAAGCAGCTGCTTAGTTTGCAATGCCTTGGGCCGGCACTGATCTCAGGTGGATCTGGAAGGAAAAGATATTCATGGAAGCACCTTAGAGCAACTGTTGAGCACGGTGGAAGATCTGTGATGCTGTGGGCTTCTTCTGGTCTGCCTGGGAATTTGTTTGTGTGTCATTAATAATGGGACATCTACAGACCGCTGTGGATAATAAATGATGTCATTTAATTCACTTTGTGATTGGTCTGCTGAATCCTTAAAAGGTTCTTCAGTTTATTTTTCATGCCG